AATGGCTGAAAACTTGAAATTATGTGCAAATATCACACATTTTACTAGAAGTCCAACCAATTCTGATACGGATTGGCTATTGTTTACTATACATTGCCTTTAATATTAACAGAAATTAAGTTGTTTTTAATGTAATATATTTAATGTAATTTAATTTAATTTAATAAATTATTGTACTGTAGTAAATTTAAATCAAATTTATAATATTAACAAATTGAGTATTAATTATGAAATAAATTGTTTTATTTAAAGCGTTTTAATCTATTATTTCCTATAATGTGTCTAATCATCTCGGCTTTAGTTTTTTACATATTATATCATTAGGGTACTTTAAAATCATAAAATAATCTATACAATTTTAAATTATATGTAATAAAAACTGTATAAGAATATTAAGTATTAACTAAAACTTAATTATTGTTTTGATTGTATGAAATAATAAATTTCTTAATATTTGTATCAAAATTATTTTAAAGAAGTTTTTTGTTTAAATAAAAATTGAAGTCAAACAACAACTCATACATTGTATTCATAAGTCCTATAAACGGTTGACACGTTTGGAGAATTTTGGGACATTTTATTTCTAATTGTTTAATCATATTAATATTATCTTTAGCGTAAACTTTAAAATACAACTTAATGTACAGAATATTCCGTAATTCCGATATCATATTCAATATTGTGTTATCCATTTTATCCTTCATTTCAAGTGTTAAGTACTGTATGTTTGGAAAGCATTTCATAATATCCGCGATAACTTTGCGATTGACATTAAAACGGAGCGTTAAATGTGTGATACGTTTCCATTGTTGACCGCAAGTGAAATCAAGTGGCGGTAAACCAAAGTAATCATAAAAATGTCCCAAAATCTCCAAACGTGTCAACCGTTTATAGGACTTATGAATACAATGTATGAGTTGTTGTTTGACTTCAATTTTTATTTAAACAAAAAACTTCTTTAAAATAATTTTGATACAAATATTAAGAAATTTATTATTTCATACAATCAAAACAATAATTAAGTTTTAGTTAATACTTAATATTCTTATACAGTTTTTATTACATATAATTTAAAATTGTATAGATTATTTTATGATTTTAAAGTACCCTAATGATATAATATGTAAAAAACTAAAGCCGAGATGATTAGACACATTATAGGAAATAATAGATTAAAACGCTTTAAATAAAACAATTTATTTCATAATTAATACTCAATTTGTTAATATTATAAATTTGATTTAAATTTACTACAGTACAATAATTTATTAAATTAAATTAAATTACATTAAATATATTACATTAAAAACAACTTAATTTCTGTTAATATTAAAGGCAATGTATAGTAAACAATAGCCAATCCGTATCAGAATTGGTTGGACTTCTAGTAAAATGTGTGATATTTGCACATAATTTCAAGTTTTCAGCCATTGATTCTCGAAACTCATTATTCGTTCTCAAAATTCCATACATTTTAATAAATTTCAATTGTTTGGCAAATTTAGCGAAAAACTTATCAATCATATCGACACTGATCTTCGCGACAAAACAACCGAAAATGGCGTTTAAATGACCGCAATATTTGGTAATCAATTCAATCACGTGATCATCAAATTCCGTTTCCCAGCACTCAATGGACATAACTTTCGGCAACTTTTTAAGCATCGATTCAAAGTTTGTATAGTCTTTGGGCTCATTATTTAGACCGGATCCTTTTGAATCGCGACAGCAATTTAATGAGGAATGAAAATATTTATACTTCAATTCGAGTCGTGTTTGTGTATTGAATACCACTCTCTGCCACTGTTTGGACAGACATTCAAATCGGAACCGGTCTTCAAGTGATAGGAAAGACAACACATATTCACACAAATCGTCACCAAATCTGTCCAAAGAGTCTTTCGCATAGATTTGAGACATTTCTACACAATTAATAGTCTTAAACACTAATGAAAATACATTCAAAATAACTGACAATTACTGAGACTCTATTGTGTGAACACATGGAGTGTTGGATAGACTGCTGTGTGTATGGGAATAGAGACCTCTTATATGGGCTAATGTTTGGTCATAGAGTGGAGGCATACGTGACATTAGACTTGTGGACAAACACTGTACTGACTTTTGCCAACATTTTAACCTAACATTTACTCCCATTTGTCTGAACTCCTCGACAAATGCCATAGTATTGCAGGGGTTGGCCACCACATCATCCATCGATATATACACCAATACTGGACACCCAATCCGATGCTTATGTACAGTAGTCGACGAGTGTATGAAGTGTTTTGTGGCAAAACTATGGCTAACATAGAGGTATACATTCATCGTAAGTGTAATTATGGTTTGTAGCACAATATTTGTCCAAAGAGTCTTTACTATAGATTTGAGACATTATTATATGATTAGTATTCTTAAACACAAATGAAAATAATTTTAACAATTACTGAGACTCTATTGTGTGAACACATGGAGTGTTGGATATAGACTGCTGTGTGTATGGGAATAGAGACCTCTTATATGGGCTAATGTTTGGTCATAGAGTGGAGGCATACGTGACATTAGACTTGTGGACAAACACTGGGAATGTATTTAATGTAATGTCAAACGAAAGACAATTAGTAATCGACACGTGTTTTACATATTAGACATTTACACACAAATGTGTCACTATATAGGGTAGAGTGTAATAAATACCCATATAAAATTTAAAAACTTAAATAATACTTTTTAACTCTACTTTAATTATGATGGGAAAATGAAAATGAATTAATAGGTACTACTAAAACACACAGCAGTGGAAATATATTGAATTATTTAATTTATCACAACATTTACTATATATTTCTGATTCACTTTCATATAATATTCAAATTAATTAAACATTGTAACTTTCTCTACATCCCTGAGCCTAACGTACAGAATATTGTTGAGTTTTGCCAAAGAATTCAATACAAACTCATTAACTCTTAAGAAGTCGTTCGTAAGATATAAGTACTTAAAGTTTTTTAAACGGTTTGCGTTATTATCGAATAAAAGTAATTTTAAGACTAATACCAATAAATTTGAATATTTAATGAATTTATTGATAATCCACTAAATGATAATTAAATATGTAGGTTACAAAAGATTAGTTTTGTCTGAAATTATATGAAAATATAAATAGAAATTAATATATTTTCATAATGTTCTAGTTATAGATCTATACTAATGTACAAAATATTTTACTATTCAATCATACGTTATATTTATGAAAAGTAATATCAAAATTTAATTAAAAAGTCAATTAATTTCAATGCAATGAATTTTGGGACACATTTCAATCAAATCATTGACATCCGAATCCTTATAATCTGTTTCATTGCCATTGAGTTTAACGCACAGAATATTCTTGAGTTTCGATACAGAATTCAATACAAACTCATTGATAGTATTAACACTATTAAGACACAAGTACTGAACATTTGGCAAACATTTCGCGATATTTGCGAAAAACTGCTCATTAATGGGGAAACCAATCGTCAAATGTGTTAATCGTTTGAAATCAATGAACAAATCGTTAGGCAATACGATATCGGAGTCAAACAAATCGCCACTTATTTCCAATCGCTTTAAATGTTGAAAATACTGATTAATACATTGCAATAATAGTTGGCACTCATTGGGTCCATGGTCAATTAACTCATCCGAGTCATCATCGTATACGTAATGAACGTTTGATAAGACATATCTAATGGACAGTCGTTTCAAAAGTCGCAAATTGAGTCCAATTTGTGTCAATCCAGTGATATATACGGGAATCAAACCATTTTCGGATCCGTCTTGAAAACAAAGCTGTAGTTCCCGTAATTCCCGCATTTTGGATAACCCTGGTGATTATAATATATAATTAATTTAGGTTTATAAAAATTTAATAAATATTAAAATACAAACCATTCATAAATGATTTCAACGATATATCGTTAGTTATCGTATCGATAGTGATATCAATGGATGTAATAATATGTCGATATTTATTACAAAATGTCGTAAACTGTGTGTTGAATAGGTTTATGTCCGGTGGACCATAAGCATCCAGGTATTCATCAGTATTAACACAAATTTTGTGTAGTTTTCGGTACAAAACACTCGGATTTGATAGTAGTTTCCAATAGATATCATTAGTAACACAAAGATATGTTAGATTTTCGCATAATTTCATGTTTTTAATCATAGATTTCTTAACCGGTTTATCATAATTGACAAATATATTAATTTCTGTCAATTGTTTGGCATAGTTAGCGAAAAATTTATCAAAAGTTTTGATATTAACGCTACTTTCAAACCGTATGTTAATAGCGTTTAAATGACAGCAATATTTGATAATCATTTCAATTATATTGTTATCAAAGCTCCAGAACCAGCACTCAATGGCCGTAATATTGGGTAACTTTTTAAGCATTGCTTCAAATGATGTGAAACCAAAGGTCTCTAAATTATTTGGACGAAACAATTTGCGAGGAATTATGAGTTGTGTTTGTGTCTGATATACGACTCGTTGCCACTGTTTGGACAGACATTCATATGTGAATCGGTCCTCAAATGATAGGTAACTCAATAAGTGTTGACACAAATCGTCACCAAATCTGTCCAAAGAGTCTTTACTATAGATTTGAGACATTATTATGCTATTAGTAGTCTTAAACACAAATGAAAATAAATTCAACTGAATTCACATTAACTGAGACTGAATTTTGTGAACGCATGGAGTGTTGGATATAGACTGCTGTGTGTATGGGAATAGAGACCTCTTATATGGGCTAATGTTTGGTCATAGAGTGGAGGCATACGTGACATTAGACTTGTGGACAAACACTGGGAATGTATTGAATGTAATGTCAAACTGCAGACAATTAGTAATCGACAAGTGTTTTACAGATTAGACATTTACACACAAATGTTTTACAAATTACTTACAAACTATATTACAAACAAACAAGGTAAAGTGTAGGAAATGATCATAGGAATTTTTAAAACTCAAATAATATGTTTGAACACAACTTTAACATGATTTCTAAAGTATAGGTGAATTGACTCGTAGTACTAAAACACAACGGATTTGAAATATATTTAATTTATGACAACATTTACCGTATATGTCTTATTCACTCTGATTTAAGTATCAAACAATATATAGTATTATTTAAAATGATTAAACATGGTTAATATTTAATATATTTAATACGTATTTTAAATATTTAGTTTGCAAAATTTATATTTAAATGAAATTAATTTAATAACTTTAAAAATGAATAAATCTTTTCAAAAATAATAGATTCTTTATTTAGAAATATTGATAAATTTTATTTATTTTTGGCAAAAATAATTTACTTAAACATTAGGTTATAAAATAAAGTGTTCATTGAAACCAATGACATGTAGTCTTGTTTGTAATGATCTCAAAGTATACACAAAAATAATGATAAACATAATTAATTTAGTAATTAACAGTACTTTATAACAATTCAAATGAAAATCTTAATTGCCAGATTTTTAACCAATATTTAATAAAGTTGATATTGATAATTAATTTGAATAGTTTGGATATGGGACAAATTTGAAATAAATTCCTAACATTAGTTTCATGAAACTCATAATAGATTTCACCTACAGTAAGTTACATAAAATCATTAAACAAATAAATAAAATAAAATGATTAACAAAAATTAATTATCTACTGATAAAAATAAAATAATTGTATTTAAATTTTTAAAAAATATTAATTAATACTGCTAAACATTTACATTAAGAAGAGTTGAAATACCCTTTTTGTATGTAATTACAGGAACTGATACAAGAAATAAATAAATACAAAAAAATAGGTATTCATTTCTGATATATTATTAATTTACAATACTAAAAACTAATATATATAACATAACATAACTGTAATATAACACAAAAACTATTTAATTATATACAACCATATTTGCGGAGATATATCTAAAATAAATGAATTATGTTAAATAATATTATACTCTGTAGTACTTTATCAATTACATCTGTTTGTAACATTTTAATAGTGAACAACGCCTAAAATTATAAAATTTATGTAATTTTAAAAATGGAGATAACTTATATTATCATAATAAAGTAGAGTACTAACATAAATTAGTACAATATAAGCCTTCTAATTATAAAGGTTATAAAATTTATAAGGTCTCATTATATAAGCAAGCAGACATATTAAGGGTTTAATAATTTTAAATATATAAATTCATAAAAGTATTGATTTAACAATATATGTTAAAATAATAAAAAATACCATGAGTTTGGATACAATTGTTTATATGTTACACCAGTATTGGGTGGATAATACTGATGAACATATTAAGGAATATGTATTTTTTGGTGGTGGACCTGCACTATTGATATTTATTATGTTATCATGGCTTATATTTGTCACTAAACTGGGCCCATTTGTCATGAATAATCGAAAACCATTAATTATGCGAGAAATAATAATTGGATATAACTTTGTATTAGTTGTTCACAACATTTACTTCATAAACGCTTCACTCAAATGGTTAGAGTTTGGCCGCAAGTCATGGAACCCAAGACTACCCCCGAGTAACCAATGGTCACTGAAAGCCATCCAAGAGATGCCTGAAAAACATATTTACTTTTACACAAAATTATTTGATTTATTGGACACAATATTCTTTGTGTTGAGAAAAAAGTCAAATCAGATCTCATTTCTTCACGTCTATCACCATTTTATGGGTATTTTGTGAATAGTTTTATTACAGTATATCGTATAATATAGAGGTTGCTTATTTATTTTAAACTTTTAACCTACAGTTCCTGTGATGGGTTGGCTGGCGGTTAAACAATGTTCGCAATCAGTTATTGTTGAAGTATTTTGTTTGCTTAACTCTATTGTCCATACAGTCATGTATTTGTATTACTTATTGTCGGCATTTGGACCCCAAATACAGCCCTATTTATGGTGGAAGCGATATATCACACGATTGCAGATATTACAATTTATAATACTTTTAGTGTATGCATCTTGGTGTATTACCTGTGGTGATATGTCCCGTTATCCACATGGTGTCAAATGGTTGGTCACTATTCAGCCCATTGTCTTTATTTACATGTTCACCAATTTCTATAAAAATTCATATGAAAGTAAAATTAAAACCAATTAAATATAAATACAATATTTAAAATATAATTAAATTATATAATTGTCTAATTAGTTTAATATTATCACTGATATTTTATCAGATACAATAATATAAATTAAAATGCAAATCAATATTTTTCACTATAATATTTTATATACTTTACCAAGTCATAACAAAATAAGTGTTATTTTATGACATTAGTAATAAAATATTAATTTATTTTTATGATATAAGTCTCTATACAAAAAATAAACATAATTTATACTAAATCCTATTACATGAAAATTCTAAACTCAATCAATCACTTCAAATAAATAGCAAATTAATTAATATGAAGTTACATAAAAATCTGTTGCGAAATGTTTGTATATAATTTCTAAAAAATTCCTGAAAATATGTCACAATCTAAAATAAATTACTTATTAAAAATTAACGTCTAATTAAACTTTTATTAGCAAATAGTGACTTAATTACGAAACAGATGTCTCTAAAATTTAATTTAGTTTCACGTTTAACACATATTAATAAAATACTTTAAGAATAACAATGCCTACCATGAGTTTGGACTCAATTGTGTATTTATTACACGAGTATTGGGTCGACACCGATGAACATATGAAAGATTATCCACTTATTGGCGGAGGACCTGGTTTATTTATATTAATTATGTTATCATGGTTATTGTTTGTCACTAAATTAGGTCCAAATTTTATGAGAAATCGCAAACCATTTGTATTGCGGGAAATAATGATAGCATATAACTTGGTATTAGTTGTGATAAACGCATACTTCATATACACTTCACTCAAATGGCTAGAGTTTGACCGCAAGTCATGGAACCCAAGACTACCCCCGAGTAACCAATGGTCTCAGAAAGCCATACAAGAGTTGCCCGAAAAAGTTGTTTATTTCTATTCAAAGTTATTTGATTTACTGGACACATCATTTTTGTATTGAGAAAAAAGTCAAATCAAGTCTCAATGCTTCACGTTTATCTCCATTTTATTGGTATTTAATAATTATATTAAAAATCTCAATTAATTTTAAACTATTTTATACACAGTTCCTTTAATGGGTTACCTTGTGGTTAAACAATGTCCGCAAACAGTGATTGGGGAAGTGATTTGTTTGCTCAACTCTACTGTCCATACAGTCATGTATTTGTATTACTTATTGTCAGCATTTGGACCCCAAATACAGCCCTATTTATGGTGGAAGCGATATATCACACGATTGCAGTTAATACAATTTGCCTTGTTTATTGTCTATGCTTTTTATTGTTGCATAGATGGAGATATGAATAATTATCCAGACTCTGTCAAATTTGTGGGCTATACTCAACCTTTTGTTTTCTTCTACTTGTTCTTAAAGTTTTATATAAATTCATATAAAATAAAAAATCAATAATTCATGATTCACTATAATGTATTTGATTTCTTATAATTTGTAACATAAATAGTTAACCAGAATATCTGATGTGAATTGCGGTTATTAACTTATATTCTTACTGAATTATATTTAAAATTATAAATTTTTAAGGCAAAACTTTTTCTAGGGAATAATATAACTATAGCGTATACTACTTTGATTATAATTAATAATAAAAATACAATATTGAAAAATACAAAAGCGCAAAATATTATACAAAATTATTATAAATAAATGAAGTAATGTAACAAGATTGTATAATTATAATAAATATGCCTAATAATTTAGTGAACATAATTTAATTAAACAATACAATGTACAATGTTAAATGTAATCTGAAATAAATAAATTAAAAGCTAATTCAGTGATTATTTAACACTTAAATCAATATCTTTTATCATCTCTTAAGCCCTGACGAAGATCTCAGTGTAGATCGAAAACGTTGGGCTGATCTGTTATTTTTGATACCTTTCACTGATAAATAAAATAAGTTATTAAAGCAATCCCTTAATTAAATTAAAATCTAATTATTATTATTATTTTATGTGATTAAAATTTTAAATATTTCATATTCAAAACGTAGTGTATAATTCAAAAAAGCAAACATACGTTAAAACAAGTCCTGTACTTAATTAGTACATTAAGTGCGGATTAATTAATAGGATGTTTAATTAAGAATATAACCAAAAATTTTGTAGGCAAAAAAAATTAAATTGTTGTCTAGTGCACTACATACAGAGTATGGTGCATTAAAGTCTAAATATAGTAGTAGTTCACAATTAATTACAATTATCATTACAAAATTCGTTTATAATGAAAAACTATATAAACGCGAAGATAGTTAAGTACTTTAGTAATTATTTTTTAAAATCAAGATATTTATTAGTCGTAAAGTTAAGAAATAAAAATAATGAATTTTGATTCATTTATTTATTTGTTACACCAGTATTGGGTCGATACTACTGATGAGCGACTTAAGGGCTATGCAATCATCGGTGGTGGGCCTGAAATATTTGTATCAATAATGTTATCATGGTTAGTATTTGTGACCAAATTGGGCCCTTATCTCATGAGAAATCGTAAACCATTTGTTTTGCGAGAAGTGATGATCGCATATAACTTAGTATTAGTCGTATTGAACGCATACTTCATATACGCTTCACTCAAATGGTTAGAGTTTGGCCGCAAGTCATGGAACCCAAGACTACCCCCGAGTAACCAATGGTCTGATAAAGCCATCGCAGAGTTACCCGAAAAGTATGTCTACTGTTACTCAAAATTATTTGATTTATTAGAAACAGTTATATTTGTGTTGAGAAAAAAATCAGATCAAATCTCATTTCTTCATGTTTATCACCATTTTATGGGTATTTTGTGAATAGTTTTACAAAATTATTATTTAATTAAATTTAAACATTTATGTCCTACAGTTCCGGTGTTGACTTATGTGACGGCTAAACAGTGTCCGCAAACAGTGATTGGGGAAGTGTTTTGTTTGCTTAACTCTACTGTCCATACAGTCATGTATTTGTATTACTTATTGTCGGCATTTGGACCCCAAATACAGCCCTATTTATGGTGGA